CATGTCCACACAGCTAAGGACTGTCCAGCTCCATCCAAACTCAGCCTGTTGAAGTTTTTGTGTAAATTGGGGAATGTCTAAGCTCTCACACCTGCACACCCCCACAGCCTCTCTGAAAGAGGAACATGGCCCCTGTTTTGTTGATAAGTTCAACAAGGTCAGGCATCTGCCTCGGGTCATCAATGAAACTAGCCTTGCAGCAGATTTGGGGTCCAGCTGCTCCCCCTTCCCATCTACTCATGAGACACAGTGAAGGGCTCCTCAGATGGGACCATAGAACCTATGGGATGCAGCATGTGCACCAGGTTCCTGACACGTGACCGGGAGACCTCAGGGAGGAGTCTGCTCTCAGTGCCCCTCCTCTGGGAAACAGGAAGCAACAAGATAGGGGATAGGGGGACCACACATCTCTGTGTGGGGGCCTGGACAGGCAGAGCTGGCTTTGGGGTGCTCTGACTTAAGCAGAATGGGGACAAAGACTGCTTTTTGAGACACAAGGACCCCACCCAGGGTTTTTGCACCCAACCTGACTCTGAACCTTCACTCTGGGTCAGGCCTTGTGAGGAAACTGAGGTTTCAGAATAGAGAGACTTGACCAGGATTCTGGGACAGGGATTGAGCAGGTGGCTGGCAGCCATCTACCTTCTGAGCCCTTTGCTCTCCTGTTAGGGTATGAGTGGAAAGGGCGGGGGGGGGGGCTCTCCTGTATCCCTGTGGGGGTTGGGACACACACACCCATAGCCTGCTCCAGGAAGCCCAGTGTCCCCCATATCCCCACCCCTGCAGCACTCTTTCCAGTTTTTGGAGTGCTCTCTGGGGTCAATGGACTCGGGTTTGCTTGACCACCACAACCTGACTGCAAAGTCGATTCCTTCTCTCCTTGGGCTGTTACCAGCTGCCTCTGTCACCCTGCACACGGTTTCTTGGAATATTTGCTCGGACTCTGCCCACTCGATACCTGGGGTCAGATGTGACCCTGCTTGGGATTGGTTCAGAGTGTTTGATGTCTGAGGACATCTGGGTATCTATGATTATAGGGGAGTCAGTTGGCGGTGAATGTTTGGAATCATTTAGGCAGGGGAAAGTAGGAGTATGAGAAGAGAGATGAGATTTGTGGGGAACAGGTGATCGTGAGGGAACAGGAACCAGAGGGTGAGGGTGGGGGTTAGGAGAGCACCCTGTGTTGAAGGAAGGTTAAGCATGCTGCTATCTGGGTTGTGTAGTAGAGTGGCCTGGAAGGAGGTGGGTTGAGTGGTAAGAGAGGAGGCCTTGGAGGGTCATCTTGGCAGGTGGGAGACCGCAGCAGGTGATAGACAGATACATCATGCTGAGAGCTTGGGTATAGAGTTTATTTAGTGCGTTATGGAGGAAAAGGAAAGGGGAAAAGGAAGAAGGGGGAATAAGTGAGAGAGAGAGGCAGGGTTGGGGAGGAGAGAGCAGAAGCTACCTTTTCAGGACAGAGATGGAAAGAGAGAGAGCTCATGCTGAGGAGGCAAGAGACCTGCTTATCTCAGTGGAAGGGGGAGGGTTGGGAAGGGACAGGATACCCAGGTGACAGGACAGGCTAGTAGATCATAACATTCCCATCTCTTATAATAAAAAGGTGGGAAGTTAGGCACAACAGGTGTCCCTAGCCCCTGGTTCCTGAGCCAACCAGCTGGGAATCAGCTTGACTTTATTATCAATCCCCCCTCCCCCCCCCCCCCCACCGCCCCCCAGCCTGGAGACATCCGGCTAGTTGCCCTGGGGTTTGTGTTGTTTTTGTCGTTCTCACATTTCAGCTATGGAAAACAAACCACATCCTAACTAAATTTAGATAGTCACACCTCATGGACAACCATGGCTGCCGCCATTTTCTTTGACCTTAGCAAAGGAGGACCCTCCATGTGAGGTCCCGCCCCTAGCCAGCTTCCTTCCGCTCACTTTTCATTTAGCTATATGTGTATAAAAACTTAAATTCAAGTGGGTGTAAATATATGTATATTTACTGTTACACGTTATAATTGTCTGTTTACTTATCTCATTCCAGACTACAAAACAACTCTCATGTTCTAAATTGGTACATACTTTTAAGCCTCTTACAAAAAGTACTATTTATGTAATCCGACCCTGCTTTAGAATATATTAAGCTATTCTCTACTGTTGTCAGTTCCACCATTAGCTTCTGCTAAGCTGAGAGCCGTTGCAGTCAAGCTTAGACTCGGTTCTCCAGGCAGGCAGATTCTATACTGTAGTTATACCTGATAAATAGCCCTCAACTGCCAGAGATCTGGGAAATATGGAACTTAAATATTTAATTATTAAAAAACTTTTCGTAACAGAAAGAGACAGTTTGGCTCTTAGCAGCAGCAGGCTATTTCCTCCAAAGAAGACAGAAGACAGATGGGCACAGAACAACGTCCATCCGCAACTTGCTTTATCAAATGCTGACCAAAACTGCCTTTCATCTAAACTGAAGGTATCCAGACAGTGGACAGAATCACTGGAATTGACAGCCTAGCTGCTCAGGTCAAGGTAGGCTTGTCTTCCTACAGATTTCTAACTCACAGGATCTTCTAAAACCTGGCAGACCCTGCACTAAACAGCAAAAGGCAAATATGACCCTCAGTGACCATAAAGGACTCCGAGGAGTAGCTCTAGGTGCCAACCAAGTAAGTTCTCTGTTGCTTTTTTAATTGATAACTCAAGTAAAATTTTATCCTTCTCAAAGATCTCCGATGCAGTTTGACAGCTGAGAGGTTTTGTCATTTAAAAGGACAACCTCACCAAAAAATTTCAGTAAAATACAAAATAAATGTTGTTAAGGTGTGTACCTGCAAGTTATACAGAAGATGTTAGGACAAAATTCTCTATCATGCTGTCTTTCATAGTCTTAAAGATACTTTTCATTATACAAAAATATCTGTCACAGTCATTGTGGTATAAATATGCTACTGTTTAAAACTTATGTTTTCATAAACCCAGAAAGTTCTTGTAAGTTCCAGGGAGATCAATTAAAGGATCCACCGTAAACAGGTCAGATACACCCTTCTCAATTCCCTGATACTGAAAAATTTTTCTTCCTAAATTTAACTTTGTCCTCTGTTCTGTTAATACCTTGCTAGGTCCAAGAGACACTGGATAGTTCCATACCACCAACCCTGGACAGATAAAAAGTGACCAGCTACCCCAGGATATGACCAGCACCCAGTTTTCTCAGGTCCCCCCAAGACAATGCCCACAAATAAGCAGGAAGCTGTCTTGAGAATCCTCCCTCCTGATTTCTTTAACCCGTTGTGCCTAACTTCCAGCCTTTGCATTATAAAAAAGAGGTGGGAATGTTATGATTTACTAGCCTGTCCTGTCATCTGGGTACCCTGTCCCTTTAAGAGGCAAGCCCTGCCCAATCCCAACCATTGCCTTTAACTGAGGCAAGCAGATCTCTCGCCTCCTGCATCCTGAGCTCTCTATCCTGAAGAGGTAACTTCTGCTCTCTCTCCCCTTCCTCTCTATCTCTCTCCCCCCAACTCTCTCTTTCTCTCTCTCTGCCTCTCTTTCTTCTTCCCCCTTATCCCCTTCCTCATTTTCTTTTCCCTTCATAACCCACTAAATAAACTCTATAACCAATCTCTCTGCATGAGGTATTTTTCTGTCTCTCACCCACTGCAGTCTCCCATCTGCCAAGGCGACCCACCAAGGTCTCAGGGACTCACCCAGGCCTTGGGTCACCTGCTACTACCCCTCGGGGGACCAGCCCCCCCCCACTATATCTTTAAAAAAGAATAATGGGAGGAGGAGAACTTGAGGGAGCAGACAAGCTTTGGGTTCAGTTCTTTCTGCCCTTGTCAGTCACCATGGAGAGAACTGTGGGTCACCAGATCCCTGGTCACAGCAGCTGTCCCCATTCTGTCCCACAGGTTGTTATTTCCTCCTGTAGCCTGGACACCCGGTGAGCTGTAAAGAAAGCTATCAGGATCCTCTGAGTGACACCAAGACCCACAGCTGTCATGGGCTCCCCAGGTAATCAGTCTGTTCTCTGCTGCTGCTCATGGCCTAGGACTCCAGGGCCTCCCTGCTGAGGCCTGCGGAGGAGTCAAAGCTGCAGGAGGAGAACCCCAAGTGTGAGCAGAGAGCTCCCCAGTCCTGGGTTAGAGCAGCCCCACATCCTCATCTTCTCTTGGGATGCATTCTCAGGAGGAACTTCAGCAATACCCAGTTTGAAAATTGGAAGCCAAGGAGGTTGGAACGGAGGGAGCAGGAGGCAGGGAATGTGAAGATGGGAGGCAGCTCCAGCCCTCTCTTGGTGGCTCGCTCTCAGCTGACCCTGTGGCGCTGTCCCTGAGGAGGGAGCCCACCCTGCACCAGCTCAGACACCCACCTGTTCTAACTGCTTCAGCAGGAAGTTACTACACCCCAGAGAGACCTTGCCCACAGTCCATCTATGTTACCTGGAGATTCTCACCTCTTATAACCTATTCAGAGCCGAGTGTCCCCATGTGTCCAGGCAGAGCAGAGCCTGCTGCAGCCTCTACTGCACCCCATTAATTCCAACGGACCTAATCCCCATCCCCAAGCTGTGTCAGGGCACCTGCCCTACACAGCCAGGACCAGAGCTTGTTTTCCCAATGTGTTGGTCTCAAGCCAGGCCTGGTTTTTCTTTTGTCATATAAAAAAGTGAAGTTGAAACATAAGACCAGAAAAAACCAATAACAACAACAAGAAAGGTCTGCTCAGAAGTGACTCTACCCAGGAACAGCCCTAAGCCCAGGAACAGCCCTAAGCCCAGGAACAGCCCTAAGCCCAGGAACAGCCCTAAGCCCAGGAACAGCCCCCTACACCAGTCCTTGTTCCACACTGGTGTCCTGAGCCCTGTGCTCACTGTCTTCTTCCCTCACCTCTGCCGCTTAGGCAGTCAAGTCATTTGCTCAGCTTGGCCAACCCACACTGCAAAGCAGTCTTGTTAAAGAATGAGAGAGAGAAAACTACAGAGCTGTGCAATTGGTCAGGATGCCATTACAACTTCAGTGGGATCAACTTACCCCACCCAAGGGTGTACTCCCCAAGGAACCTCCATGCGTGCGATAGAGAGAAGCTGGAGCTTTCATGGCCATCACAGTGTGATTCACAATAACTGAGACATGGGAAGAGCAATCCTGCACATCAACAGATCATAGAGAAACTGGAAGGCATGAAGAAAAACATTGATGCCATCAAGCTGACCAAAGCCAGCCCTCGCCTGACAAATAGTGCCAAGCGTCTAATGACCACAGGGAAGGTGTCAGCCCAAAGCACTAGACAGGTGGAGAAAGCCTTTGGAGGCACTGCGCTGGCAATGACCAAAGGAGCCCGGATCATGGGTGCAGCCACTGCAGGTCTCACCCTTGTGCTAGATGTGGTCAGTCTCATAGAAGACTCAAAGCATTTGCATGAGGGTGCAAAGGCAGAGTCTGCTGCAAAGCTGCGGCAGAAGGCTCAGGAACTGGAGCAGAAGTTGCAGGAGCTCACCCAGTTGCATGACATCCTGACTCAGTGACCTCTTCTTCACTGCAGCTCAGAACTGTAGGTAGGTGCTGCCCTGAACAAGGCCACAGACACATGAGAGGCTCTGACTGTATCCCATCACAGCAATGCCCCTGTGGCAGGAGTGTGTGCTAGAGGGAGAGGACACAGTCTGGGGAAGTGATGAGGTTTAATTGCTATTGAAGTTTAAAATCTGCTGCAATTGGATGAGATCTGTTGAGATGCACATGGAGGGCTAACCTTATTCTATAACATTTGAAGAATAAATTTATAAACACTGACCTGTCAGACTTTGTGTGTTTTTTCCAAATGATAACATGTGTTTTCTAAATTGTTGACTATAAAGAGTTAATAATTGCCTCCTGATTTTTATCGTGATTTTAAAAACTTGTCTTTCTTGTGGTTTAACAAGAATATTTGAAATTTATACAAGAACCATTTTCCTTATTTGTGTAGCGCTCCCCATAGATGCACCCTGAAGCTGGAAAGGAGCGGGGTCCACTTCTCCCTTTGCAGCTCAAGCAGCCTTCTTCCCAAGGTTCTGAACACTGGGCTGAGAGATGACTTGTGTGTATTGTAGGTCTTATCTGTTAGAGGAACATTCTTCTGCTTCTCAACCCCTTCGATCCTTCCTTGGACTGGAATGTCTGGTAAGCGAAAGCTTGATGTGGACAAAACCATCTCCCTGGGGTGCCGAGCAGTGACAGAATGGAGTGCTGGCCCGGACAAAATTAGAAAAGTACCTACCTGTTTCCTGAGCTGCCCAACAACTTGCTCCTCAGTGCATGGCGTCCTCTCTACTGCTGAGCCCATTTACCCATGTTAGTGAACACTGTGCCAGGGCTCAGATTCTGACCCTGAACAAACTCAGGAGCCATCACCAGAGCTCACCACATCCTTGACCTTGAACCCTGCACTCTCCCCTGACTCCATCAGTCTGGCCCTTAGGGCACAGATTACTTGAAGAGCCTGTGCCTTTGTCACTGCACTCTTCCAGGCTCTCAGGACTCTCAAAACAACTGCACCATAGCCCTTTCAGTGAATGACCACTTCCATATTGCTGCCCACCTAGGAAGACACTTTCCTTTATGAAGGAGAAAACTAAGCCATGGAGGATGTGGCAGAAGAACTGAGACAGTCCATCATGACTTCTCATAGATACAGAAACTTTATGGGTGATGAAAGTATTATTCTAGTAGGTAGCAGGATATTATCAAAATAGAGATGCATTTAAAAAGTACTTAAAATGAATGTATGTGATGTAACAATGTATCTCAGGTGTTAGAAGTGCTATTAGCAAAAGAAAAGGCTATGGACAGAGACCAGTGAGGCTCAGAGATGAGTAGAGGCCCAGAAAGGGACAGGGGAGATGGACAGGGTGAAGGAAGGACAGTGCAGAGGAGGAGCTGTGACCAGGTCTGTCCTTGCCTAACACAAGTGACAGGCAGCAGGACTGTGCCTGCAGCTGCTGCCCCTGGGGTCTGTGTTCAGTTCAGGCACCAGGGGTGTCCTGTATGTGGGAAGATAGGATGGTCCTCATGATGGGCTGTGACTCCTCAGACACGAAAAATGGAAGGATTCATGGTGTCCACAGCACTGCAGATGGCTGTCCCTGGCACGTGCTCAGTCAACACAGACCCAGCTGTAGCGGGTGTGACATCTGAACCCAGCTATAAAGATAAACTATTGAAATGGAAATGATGGAGGAGAGGAGAGTTGGGCGGTTGTCCTGTGAAGTAATAAGGGCGGCGGCGGGGCTGCGTCCCCAACACCCCAGCCGCCTGCCTGGCTAGCTTATGCCCCAAAATAATTACACAGACACTGTATTCTTTTAAGCACTGCTTGGCCCATTCTCTTCTAGGCTAATTCTCACATATTAATTTAGCCCATTTCTAATCATCTGTGTATGGCACCCCAAGGTGCGCTTACCAGGAAGATTCTAGCCTACGTCCATCCTGGGTCGGATCTTCATCCTGGGAGCAGGGCATGGCGTCTCTCTTAGGCGTCTCCTCCCGAGCGGAGAGCTGTCGAGTCTGAGCTCACTTCCTCTTCCTCCCAGCGTCCTGTTCTGTTTACTCCTCCCACCTATCCTCTAACCAATAAAATGGGCCAGGGCAGTGCCTTTATTAGCCAATGACCTTCCTCCATCATTTCCCCTTTTTCGGTTTAAACAAAAAAAAAAAAAGGCTTTAACATAGCAAAATTACATATAACAAAACAGTTATCAAGTAAAAGTTACAATAATCTTTATCATAACTAAGGAAAACTGTAACTATAACTAACTATTCTTAACTCCATCAAAGACTCCAGAAAGATATATTACCTAAGTAAACAAGAACTAAGAAACTTCAAACTCTAGAAATGACAAAGACATCTCGCTGCCTGGACAGTCACCCAAAGTTCCTCTGTACCGTTGGGGCATCCATCTTCAGCCTTCAGGCCCATGGTATCCAGCAAACATTTCCATAAAGCAGGAAAATTCAAAGTCAGTTCAGTCACTATCTGTTGTGTCCTGCAGAATGTCTCGCAGACTCTTTCAAAATGAATCAGGAACCCCGAAAGATCATCTCACCTTAGGCAAGTTCAGTAGTCCTCTCTCTGCGGGTTCTCTGTGTCCAGTTTATGCAATAGTTCAGGCAAGAGCAGTTTCTTGCCCAAATGGCTATCAAACTCCATAACGAGCCTCTTCGATGCCCATCTTCCTCTTGAAGTAGATTGGTGCTGCCAGGAGCAGAGTGTCTCATTGTCATGAAAAGTCCTCAGTTATTAAAACATCAAATGTCCTATTCTGTAATCTTTGAAAGACATGAAGAATGTCTATCTAAAATATATCTCTATATATCTAGAAAATCTAACTAACATGACTACAAGCTTTACTATTATCGATGATTCTCCATTAACAACCTATATTTCTTAATTATACAGTACATATTTAAATGAACTACACAATCACAATACCTTAATCAAAATCAGAAACACTTATACATATAACAAAATTGACCTTAAATCTCTATCAATAAAGCAAAATCTATACTAATGCAAATTATTTATATCTATATCATATCCCCCTTTAAATGTAAAAGAACGTTTATAAACCATATTTGGGAATATGGGCGCAGTTTTTTCTCTCCAAACTGCCTCCTGCTGAATGGGGGCGTCGTTAATTAGGTCTTTTATGGTATAACCTGTGTGCTAGTTTCATCTCAGTTGGCAGTTGAGCGAAGCAATTTTTTGAAGATGTTTACTGCAACCCTTCAGGAGGACGTGGTCCATCATACCAAATCGGAATAGAAGAAATGAAGAGCGTCTCATCCTCTGTGAAAACAAAATAAGAAACTCCTTTCCAAAGTATCATGTCCTTAGATCCAAATTCATAATATCTATGTTGGATTAGTTCAGCAGTATTTATAAATAAATATCTTTTAGCATCTGTTTCTCCTTCCTCAGCATTTAAACAATTAAAAGAGAGCATAATAGCATACAGTATCAAAATTCTCTGTGTATTTTTCATCTTTGTGCAGCTTTGTTTTAACCTCTATTTTGTTTATTTTTACTTTTAACTCTTTGCTTTTTGAGACAGGTTCTCTGTATCTTTGACCTGAAGTAACTCTGTAGACCAGGCTGTCTTTGAACTCTCAGAGATCCGCCTGTCTCTGCCTCCCAGGCATTCGGGATTAAAGGTGTACACTACTACACCTTGAACTCACAGAGATCTGTTTGTCTCTGCCTTCTAGGCACTGGGATTAAAGGCGTGTGCTACCACACACAACAACTCTCTTCCTTTTTTTGTTTTTTACTTTAAGAACTTCAACTTTTAGTCTGCATATATTTTTAACACACTGTAAACCATTTAAAAATTTTCTTTGTCTTTGAATCTCTCTTTACTGTATATCTCTCTTTTTCTGACCACATGAGTCTTTAATTTACCAAGCAGTATCAGTAGGATTACAGGCGTGGCTTTGCCGGCTGGATCCAGCCCATTCCTTAGCTTTCCAGCCTCATGACTGAGGTACTGGCTGTAGCCAGCAAGCGAGCTTCAGCAGCCTGTACTTGCAAACCGCACAAACCGCCTGCGTAAAAGAGTCAGAGTTTGTCCTGGCAGGATAGCCCAGAAAGCCGGCATTTTTAAACGGCGCAGCTTTTTTCCTGCTACGGCTAAAAACCGAAAAGCATGCGTTCAGCTTTTCGTCAACACCGTTTAAGTGTTTCGTGGCAGGACCTCTTAATGAGCTGCAGGCTTTGCAGCTAAAGCTGAGTCAGGAAGCCTCTCTTAGATGAGGCGCTTGCTTGCCTCTAGCAAGCAGAGTAGAACCGAGAAATTGCTGCTACCAAGAAACCAGGCACAATGCTTTCATTTTGTTCTATAATTACTTCCCAAGCTGTCTCAGGCTTATGTGGAAGCAGTTGTCCACATGGGTGCCATATGAAGTAATAAGGGCGGCGGCGGGGCTGCGTCCCCAACACCCCAGCCGCCTGCCCGGCTAGCTTATGCCCCAAAATAATTACGCAGACACTGTATTCTTTTAAGCACTGCTTGGCCCATTCTCTTCTAGGCTAATTCTCACATATTAATTTAGCCCATTTCTAATCATCTGTGTATGGCACCCCAAGGTGCGCTTACCAGGAAGATTCTAGCCTATGTCCATCCTGGGTCGGAACTTCATGGCATGTGTCTGCCCGGAAGCGGGGCATGGCGTCTCTCTCAGGCGTCTCCTCCTGAGCGGAGAGCTGTCGAGTCTGAGCTCACTTCCTCTTCCTCCCAGCGTTCTGTTCTGTTTCCACCTCCCACCTATCTTCTAACCAATAAAATGGGCCAGGGCAGTTCCTTTATTAGCCAATGACCTTCCTCCATCAGTCCTGTGTACAGGGAGGGCACAGGACCCTCAAGGATTATCACCAGGGTGTCACTTTATGGTGATAGACTGTTCTTTACCTGATTGTCACAACGGCTCTACGAACCCATGTCTCTGATGAGTAATCAAGGACCCTATGAGCACATGGACTGAGTGCAGTCACAGCGAGGAAACTGAAGCTGTCCTGAGGTCAAGCTCACTGGGCAGGCATGGCAAAGGCAAGTGTTTACCACATGGAAGCCGTGAACAAGGAGTGACAGGAGGAGACACAGTCAAGAATTAGCATTCGATGACATGCTCCGAGTGACCCATGGTCTCCAAGTGTAGCCCACTTCCTTACAGACTCCAGAATTCTACTCATTCAGTAAGTTAAGCAACTGATCAGGTCAGAGCCTTCTAGAACAATCTC